CCATGTTCTCCTTTTCCTAATCCTTTACTACTAGGCCTCTCATTAATACGGTATACAGAGCCAGTACCACCAAATCGATCATTACCACAACCTACTACTACTACTACATTATAAGGTACTATAATAGGTAGCATTACCATATACAACCCTACTTATACCAAGTATATGAAGGGCTGCAGCACACATAACACATGGTTCTACTGTTACATATAGGGTACTATGTCGTATGGCATCACATGATTTATATTTATCATATATCCTGAGAGAGAGTGGTATCATCATCATTACTATTGAGATAACTCTCCTCCCCCTACTTATCAGTGGCCACAAGCTCAGCATGCCTTGTAGCATTCCTAGTATGATTGGTCTCATTACCAGCAGTAGCCAATACCACACCATTCGATACAAAGGCACATCCAACAGGTACCTCATCTGCTAATATTGGGAATAATACAGTTCGAGTTTACTACATTATTACCAGTATCGTATGCCTCTTGGGCTGCTGCTAAGGCTAGTCGCATGAACCTCTTATCATCTACACTGAAGTGATCATGACTACCTTCCTCCTCCTCCTTATCATCATGCATTGGGATGAACAACTGATTACCAAAGGATTGCTATACTACATAACACAAGAGTGATGATTCATCACTGATGAAGGAAACTGAGCAGGAACAAACATCAGACGAGTAAACCACTGCTGCTGCTACTGATGTCGTTCTTGTTGTCGTTGTTGCTGACAAGCATGAGATAAATGTCGTCTAAAGACGTGGTCCTCTTTATATGCATTGATGATATCATCATCATCACTACTCAAAGGCATGGGCAATGACCCTAGTCATCCTCGAGTAAGAGGGAAAGGAGGGATATCAGCCTGTCTATATTTACTACATACTCGTCATACTGTTGTATCCACTAGCATTGCAACCAGGTAGACAAGTGCTTGCCTCGAAGAGTAGCAATGTAGATGTATATGATAATTATTATCATCATCCACGTGGTTGATACTAGAGGAAGTCTTGTTGTTTTCATATGTAGCCTATCATGATGCTATCAGGCCTTACTGATTAACTATGAATGCATCCTTTCTAGACTACACATCATCACCAACTACCTTACTCTCGAAGAGGTAATAACAGAGCTTTATAGTATTATACAAGTTACTAATGGAGTGGTATTATGACTAGTACCTGCTATACCCAGCTTTGTCGTTGATAATAACACCTCCTTGTATACCCCATCTGTATGTACCTAACCCACCTATCAATGTGGGTCACTGCTTATACGATATCAAAGGTAGACATTATACATGAGTAAACATTAGCTGTATGACTGCAATGATCATACCACTATCAACAACCTCAGAACCCATCAGTGTGCATCGAGCTTGGATCCTTGTAATGGTATATGACATATCCTAAGATCATCACATATGCGGTACTCGACAGCAGTCATCCACTTCACCATAGATAGCAGCAACAGCAGCAGCAGAAGGAGGAGGAGGAGCAGGGAGAGCTCATCTTCATTCACTATTGTCATCACATCCTATAATCATATAATGTCTCTTCTTGTCGTAGACTACTAGTACTATTGCGGTGTGTTTGGGTCATATTTTGTGATCATATATTTTAGTGTATTGTTGTTGTTGTTGAATAACCCCTTATGCTACTTATCTCTCTTACAAAGCTGATGTATCGATGATGATGACATCTCCAAATAGATACAGCTTGGATGACACTCAAGATGATACCTCCTAATGATGATAATAGCAGTGGTAGTAGCTCTAACAATAGCAACAGCGTACTCTAGCCTCCACCACCATTCGAAAGAGGAGTGGTATGACCATCATCACCACTAGCAACATCTGACGATATGTGCACAATGATGATACATATTTGGTAGAGTAGGTTTTGTACCAATAGAGTTACTCATGATACGGGTATTGAGTTCATCGAGTTCATGTTCCCTGTGTATGAGTATTGAGAGATCGGATACCTGTTGGGGAATTGGATCGATGGTACTACCACCTACTCCCGAATGACACATAAATGTTCCCATGATGACATGCTACATGTCTACCGTGATGATTATCGGCATTAAAGCCTAGATGTAGTGGTTGATGTATTATCTGTTGTTGGTACTAATATCGATATAACTACATACCACTGACCTATCCTATTATAACAATTTATTGTTTGACAATAGATTCTACCAAAGATGTCAATAACCTCAATCATCATGTCCTGTCTTCCATTACTAGAAAAGTCATCATGCCTCCCTCTACCATGATGACCACCCTTATTTCTCTCAGATCCTATGTACGTATCGATGATAGTTTCTATGAAGCTAAAGACCACATGAGCTGAGAGCCTACTCAGTCTCGTAGCGGTTGTTTTGAACTGTCGTATTTGGCGTATCAAAGGATGAAGGATAAATAGAGCAAGAATATCATCATCAAACTAACTCAACGTCGGATAACCTTATTATTCCATATATCATAGCATAGATAACGACGAGGATGGTATGTATGGGTATATGTTAATGATAGACTATTAATAGTTGTAGTTTGGGCGGTAAAGAAAGCTATTCCTACTCTATAAGGTACAGCCTCCAGCTATCCAATCTTTATCCATATACCCACGATTCCAATCATATTACGTATAATGACGATAATACGACTGATACAATAGAGGGATAGTATTCGGTAACTGGTATGATGATCATTTCATATCCCGTACATGGCCCATAGCGTAGCTCATAATCGATGGGGCGCGGCGGGGCGAGCGAGGAGAGTGTTGTGCGCAAGATTCATGCCGGGTGTTCAAAAAAGCTATTGTCAAACCCAGGAGCTCTCCCAGGAGAGGAGTGCGTGAAAACTCGTTCAATGGACTACGATCAGGAGCGCTCCCATGGTCACTCTGATGAGTGCTCCTCGGCATGTTCAATAAGTACTTTTCGCTCGCCCGAGAGTGCTCTTAGGATTGCGTTTTCCAGGAGAGTTGGAAGATGGCGGGGGTCAGAGGGGTGCTGGGTGAGTTTGTTCGGGTCTGCTGCATCGGTTGGAGGAGCGTCCGATGAGTGAGGGAGCGAGAAATCACCACTTCTCTACATTCCCAAGAAAATTTTTCTGGATATTAAGTGATCCCAGACTGTGGTTGCCAGTGAAGAAAGTTCATACCCTGAAATTAGCGTAATCATTGATTAATAACTAATAAGTACATACGGTATTCAGGTCTCTTAACGATCAAATTTCACTGTGTTTGTGGTTTTTACCCAGTCGGCTCGATCGAGCCGCATATTCGGGGATGAGTCTCAGTGCTCTATGACTCAGCAATGACCAGTGTGGGAGAATATGCACATGGTCAACTACATGTGTTAGTGATATTAGAGAAAATCTGAGGAAATTTTGGGGAACTCTTATTGTTTTGCTTGTCTGGGAGACTGACATCAATTGCATCTATTCCCCTCACTCCAAAACACCATATAAACGCTCTGAGCACTTGCACGCTGATCCCTATCGTGCGAATCAGAATTCCCTAATACGAAATACCTTGCGCCTTTCGAGCAATTGGATTTCCATATCGTCATCATGGGAGACGTACTCATGATTGATAGCTTAGCCGTATATTCGTATGAGGCATATTGACGTCTTTGGTATTCATTAAGGGATAATAATACCAACCGATACTAATGAGACTCAACACAATCGTCGTCTTCCTTCTTGGTCTTGTTATCGAAGTGATGATGCCTGTTCATGGATCGAATGCAATACTTGTGGATACTGATAAAATACCGATCGCGGTAGGCAGGCTATTGTTATCGAGATAGGGTATTGTTTCTTTAGCTAACAGCTGGTGAGGCTCTGGGTTGTGTTATGAAGAGAGAACCGATACCCGGAAGAGGTAGATACCCGGACCGGGATTTCGCGATACGCATGAAGACCACCACTAATGAAGGTCTTGTACTCTTAGAGTTCACAGATTTCACCAAAAAATTGCTTATTTACAAGATGTGAGTATAAATATATGATGATCAGATCGACCTGTGCGTCGCCGTCTTTGTTTAGAGAACGAAGAAATGGCGGTGTAGAAATGATGGTTGAAGATGACATTTTCATTGGTAAACCAGATGATCAAGGCCAAGATTGGGAAGAATTGGCATTACGGTTCATCCCACGATCTGTGCTCATGATTGATAATCATCCCACGCAAACTCTACAAGATTGTCGGCAAATATTGGAGACCTTGAAATCATATAATTCTGGACCTAATGAATCTCCTATTGATTGGATAAGCTCCTTCTACAATATCAAGGAAACAGAGATGCGGGAGGAGATAAGAAATAGGAATAAAGCCGCAAGCAAGGAGCATAGCATATAACACATAAGGACACCCGAGTGATATCGATGTTTTTGGTGATGTCATCTACATGTGATGTATGTCGTGTCCATGTTACTCGCGTTACTAGTATAGTCAACAAATG